TATTTTGTCTGTTTAACTTGGATGCTGCAGCGTTAAGCAAACATTCTGTGTGAGAGTTAAATGTCATATTAGATTTGTTGTGTTGATGCATTTTGATGTGCTTCAACCCCGGATTTTTCCCCGCAACACTCAAATATCCCCATTCACTCTTAGAGCATTAAAGTTCCACATGGCATCGCCTAGGATTTGTTGCTGCGCACTTGCATAATGTGAAGGAAAGAGGAGATGAGCTGAATACGCAGGCTGCGAAATCAGTTTTGGTGAGACCGTGATCGGTGATCACCGATCATACACTTTTTCATGGAAATCTGCTGATTTTGATCGGTGGCTGATCGATCAGCACACCTAGTCTTTGTTATGACAACATACCTAATCAAAATTGTCTTCATTAAGATAACTTGACATTAACCAAGAATTATCATATGTGATAAGTATGTCATAATAGTAGTCATAATGTCATTAAGTGTTATTTAACAAAACAGTACTCAATATTTTCCCCTACCTGAAATAAAGTGGAACAAATAGGACCAACAATAAAGATTTCATTAAGCTTTATTACACTGTCAAATGATTTAATAACAGTTAAATCCTCTTACAACAGGGAAAGTGGAACAAGTAGCACCAGTTATGAAGTGTCATTAAGTGTTATTACAGTGTCATTAATATTATCTCTTACCTCAAGTAAAATGAAACAAGTAGCATCAGTTATGAAAATGTCATTAAGTGTTATTACAGTGTCATTAATATTATCTCTTACCTCAAGCCTCAAGTAAAGTGAAACAAATAGCACCAGTTACAAAGATGTCATTAAGTGTTATTACACTGTCAAATGCTATATTTACAGAGTCATTACTATTAACTCTTACCTCAAGTAAAGTGAAACAAATAGCAACAGTTATGTCAGGAGGCTGGATTTTGGGTTCTGTGTGGGTTTTGCCTTCCTCAGTGTCCTCCAGAGGGAGCAAATGAGCCGCTGTGGAGGATGCACCTGCTATACATCTTGCACACCTGCAATTCATCTTGGCTCATCAGTCAGAGGATAAGAGGAGTTGTTGCCAGTGCCTTGACGCCTGTTAGCTTTTATGGTTTCTTCTGAAGAAGTTCCTCCGGATCACATATCACGGCTGGCAAC